GAGCCATGGAACATGAACAATTCATGCCTTTTCAGAGTTGTACTGTGATGTGTGTTCTTTCTTTATGCTAATTTTTCTTGCTTTGTGCTTTCTGGTTTTCTCTAGTGGAGGACATTACCATTGATCTTGGTTGCATGAACTGCAATAACCCAACAAAAACTGTCCTTAAGTGTAACAATCCTTCCTTCCTTCCCCTTCCTTCCTTCCTTCCTTCCTTCCTTCCTTCCTTCTTCCTTCTTCCTTCCTTCTCTTCTTCCCTCCCTCCCTTCCTCCCCCTCTCCCTTCCTTTCTTTCTTCCTGAGACCTAATCTCATATATTCTAAGCAGTCATTAGACTCACTCTGGCTGATGATGACCTTGAACTTTTGACCTTCCTGCCTCCAATGCCCTGCATGCTGCAATGACAGCTGTATGGCTCTATGTCATAGCTTTATTCTGTGTTGGTGCTGGTTTTTCCTGAATGTTATATAAGCACTCCACCAGGTAAGCTGTCTCCCCAGCACCCTACGTGATGTGAACTTTTGTGAACAATTTTACTTTCTTCATTTTCTTCAAATTCCTTGAGTAGAATCATAGACCTACGTGTTTATAAAATGTTGTATGCTTTGTACTTTAATTATCTTCATCTCTGGAAACATTTGTGAGGGTTTGGTGTTTTATTTACTTATTTGTTTGGGCTTGGGTTTTGTTGTTATTTGGAGGGTTTTTTTGTTTGTTTGTTTTTGTCTTTGTTTTTGGACCAGTGCTAGGGCCTACCTGACCTACAAAATGAGAAGACCCTGTCTCTAAAAGAATGTTACTTAAAAATAAATTTAGAGCATTTAAAGTTCTTCTATTTAGAAGTATTTTTAAAAATAATTTTATTATAAGAAACATATAGTCCCCAACTTGGAAATCTCACTAGTTATGGATCAAGTGTTTTTCTTACAAAAATACCTAAATATCTTTGTTACAGTATCACTTTATTATCTTTATTATAGTATCTTTATTATAGTATCACTTTTCATGGCTAAAAGTCCAAATATGTGGCTAAAAGGGAGGGGAGAAATTTCATCTTCATTTCATCCATGTTGGCTAAAATTAGTTTTGCTTCAAATGCTGGGACTGTGGACCAAAATAATTTAGTTTGGGTTGAAGAGGAACACAATTACTTCATAAAGACTATTCCAACCAGATGTCAGGGACTTTGGTAACTGTAATTACAAAAGAAGACAGAAAAAAATAGGGTGAATTCTAATTTATACTTTGAAACAATGGGTAGCCAAATCCCAGACATCCTGGTACGAGAAAACTGTTGCCTCCTGACTCTGTAAGTAAATGTCTGTTCTACTGGTCCAGGAGCCTTGAGGAAGATAAAGAAGTAAGCAACTTGACTTTCTGGTCAGACACTTTTGATGAGCCCGGAGGAAAGTATCTAATCACAGCAAAGACAAAAAAAAAAAAAGGAAGCATATGAAATATGGCTCTTCACCTCCAGTTTAGGGAGGTCACTGCCAACTGTGGAGATGGACAACAGTGTTCTAGGGAAGCATAGTCTGGAGCTGAGCCCTAAAGAGGAGCTGTAAGAACTTGGCAGGTAGAGATAGCTTATGCACACTCTAGCTAAAGGAATGGAAAACGGTGTTAGTCGTGTTTACAGAAAGCAAGTAGGCTCAAAGTCTGGAGCAGAGAAGCTTCTGTTCATGGTGGTCGGCGGTTATGTGGGCAGGAGCTCAGAACTAATGGAAACAAATGGCTGTTGAGACCGAGTCCTAAATCGACATCATCCCCTCCAAGGCTCAGGGAACATTGTGGAAGAGGGGGCAGAAAGAATGTCTGAGCCAGAAGACTAGGAGGCGTGCTCACTGTTTTCAGGACATGAACTCACAGCAGCAAAGGCAATCTGAAGAAGACCTACTCGGGATTCCATCAGGGAATGGGGAGGGGCTCTCCCTGAGGAGCCCTTAATGGTTATAATGGAGTCATTTTTCTTGGGATGTGGAGCCACTGGCATGTTGCCCATGCTCCAGTAACTCCCTATGTAGACCAGACTCGCCTTGAACTCACAGAGATCTGCCTGTATGTGTCCCAAGTGCTGGGATCAAAGGCACGAGCTGCCATGCCCAGCTCAAAAACATACATAAACAAAATGTAAAAAGCAAGCAGAGCCAGTGAAGTGAAGTGAAGTGAAGTGAAAAAGCGGCGAGAAATTCCTGGAAAATGCTGAGAACCTTGACTGTGTTTTGGCTCTAGGCTGGTGTTCCTGGTTTTTACTTTGTTCTGTTTTAACCTTAGATTTCACTTTAGATTATGCTGGGGAGCCAGAGCACAGATTCCTGGCTGCACCTTTGATCAGATTGAGGAGGGCGATTTGACACCTGGAGGAGAGTTTTAATTGAGGACCTTGTTGGTTGGCTCCATGAGACCTGCTGCCATCAAAATGGCCCCAGGAGCAATCATGGCTGGGGGAACAAGGAAGAGTGATCTGGCCTCGGGAGTCTTCCTTCCAGAAGGGACTTGCAGTTTATCTCTGCGCTATATAATGAGGCGAATGCCCTCTTTGTCCCTGTTGACTTCCTTACAGCTCAGACATGAGACTGTTTGAGGTGATGAGAGCCCCTCAGAGTGCAGAACCTTCTCTCCCCTGGGAGAGGACCAGCTCTTTTGTGGTGTTGAACTCAAGCCTGGCTTTCCCTCTCCCCCACCCAACCCTTAAGAGTAGTGTTCTTTTAAACACACAGATTAAATATTCTGGGCCTCAGCACACCCTCTGCACAGAGGTCCCCACTCCCGTGGCCATCAATGGGCAGGTCCCACCTGGAGAAGATGCTGAATTTAACTTCGCTTATTCCCAAAGGAGATAAATTCATACACGCGATAGAAAATTCCAGTGCAAAAAGTCCCCTTTCCCACTGTGCGCCCAGCCCCCAAGTGTACTGCTCTGTAAAGACCTATCTGCATTTCTGCTACTCCACTGCTGATAGCTCGGCCCTGGCAGCTTCAGTCCTGCTAAAGCAGATTCCATCTGGACATGTTGCCAGACGGGTTGAACACGACCAGGAGAAAGCTGAGTTCTGCCATTGTTAGCAGGCCCGCCTTGCCTTTTTAAAGTCTTTGGAGCGTCCCCATCTTGCCACAGCCATGGTGTAAATACACGGCAGTTAAAGGGAATGATGCTACTAGAGGGAGACTTGGTGAGTCCAGCCTCTTGCCTTCGCCAGCAACACTGCTGTGAAGAACATGACGACCTCACTTCAGATGTGGACAGCTACAGGCCCCGGGCCAGGTCACCACGGTGAGGTTACTAGGTCAGAGGACAAATGAGTACTTTTAAAAGCTGCTGACAGGTTTCTGCCCCACAAAGCATGTGGCATTTTGCAGACAGGTGATGAGTGGAAGGCAGCTCCGTTAACAGATTCAACTTTTCCTTTGGTTTCTTGAATCAGAGTCTCACTATTAGTCCAAACTGGCCTCGAACTCATCAGCCCCATGCCTCCACGTCCCAAATGCTGAGGTTACATGCATGCACCACCATGCCCAGCTAACAGAATTTTGTCTGAAGAACTGGGTGAGGAAGAGAGTCTAGGAAATCATCCACATAGTATGAGAAGATAGATGTACAAAGTTAGGGTCCTCTCTAGGTCTCTGGGGCCCCCCTAAAATACAGCAACTGGCAGGCAGCAATGTTAGTAGATGGAACAAAGGAACCTACTAGCATTTTCATTTGTTTGAAATGGGTTTTGTTTTGTTTTGCTTTTTATTGTTGTTAAAGAACTGACTCTTCTTGGCATAAAATTTTGTGAATTTGGGGCTGGTAAGATGGCTCAACAGGTAAAGACGACGCTTGCTTATCACCAAGCCTGATGCTCTAAGCAATCCTTAGGACCCCCATGGTGGAAAGAACCAAACTCCCTTTGACCTCCACAGGCTCTGGTGTGCACACGTGTGCACACACACATATAAAATCATGTATTTTTTAGGTTTTACGAATTCTAACACACAAATAAATTTTTGTAATCACCGTCTCAGTATGGAATAGTTTCATTATCCCCAGACTGTATCAAAGCATCCTTGATGCAGTCACACAGGATAACCCAAGTTATCACACATTTTTGGTCACACAGGATAACCCAAGTCCCCTAGGCAATGGCTGATACTGTTCCCTGTCACCGTTGTTTTGTGTTTTATTAATGTCATATAAATAGAAGCATGCAGTATACAACGCTTGGAGTTGGCTTGTTTCATTCAGAAGCATTTCCTGGAGATTGTACCCAAGTTGTACTATGCATCCATAGTTCACTGCTTCTTGACTGCTGAAAAGTATTCCAGGACATGAATATACCACAAGATTTTTACCCATTCATCCTGTCAAGAATCTGGGGGTATATCCGGTTTGGGGTGATTATTAATACATTCAAATATCAGTTGTCTCGGAAACACAAGTTCTCATTTCTCCCCAGTATGATTTCATTCTTCTATCTTGTATGAGTAAATATTGGAGTATTTTAAATATTAGAAAAGAAGTATTAAACAGTATATTCCTCTGCTATAAACTGCCCAGTGGCTTTATTTATATCGGCGAGCATTTCTTCTGTGGTTTTTATTCTAGTCAAGTGGGTTCAGGAGCTGATGGGTCATTCAGCTGGTAATGTTTAATATTCAGTGTTTTTTTGTTTTTTTTAATACAGTGCAACAGTTTAGAGCTCTCAAGAAAGGGTGGTGCCACCTCTGTGAAGACTGACTTTTTTTGTGATCTAAGTTGTATATAACAAAGTAAGATTAAATGACCCTGAGACTACCAACCACTCATGCAGAAAGAAGTTCAGAATTTATTCTAAAATGCAGAAACGCTCTTCTAAGAAAGTATGTGACACTCGTAACATGTTGAATATGTATATTATTTCCTCTTTTCGCTTTGAATTCTTAGGTTTATATTTTACTTGAATACAAACATAATACAAAACCATGCAGAGATTGTACTTCCAGTGCCAACCCATCACTGTTCTCTTCTCTCCTGGCAGGATGTCCTGGGCGGTGTCCTGATCACTGCATTCCTCATTGCCCTCACCTACCCTGCCTGGACCCTCATCGACTCACTGGACTCAGCCAGCCCTCTCTTCCCTGTGTGTGTCATAGTCGTACCATTCTTCTTGTGCTACAACTACCCAGTGTCTGACTACTACAGCCCAACCAGGGCGGACACCACCACCATCGTGGCTGCTGGGGCCGGAGTGGCCCTTGGATTCTGGATCAACCACTTCTTCCAGCTTGTGTCCAAGCCCACCCCGTCTCTCCCCGTGATTCAGAACATCCCACCCTTGACCACTGACATGCTGGTTTTGGGTCTGACCAAATTTATGGTGGGAATCGTGTTGATCCTCTTGGTTCGTCAACTTGTACAAAACCTCTCGCTGCAAGTGTTATTCTCATGGTTCAAGGTGGTCGCTAGGAACAAGGAGGCCAGACGAAGACTGGAGATTGAAGTCCCTTACAAGTTTGTCACCTACACATCGGTTGGCATCTGTGCCACAACCTTTGTGCCAATGTTGCACAGGTTTTTGGGGTTGCTCTGAGCCCCAGACAGTCGGAAGCTAGTTTGCTAATGTGAGAGGCAAAATGTGAGAACGTTGTTGGTTGGGACAACCTCAAAGCCTCCTATTTTAAGGAAATCTTTTGTCATAGTTTTGTTTTGCTGATGTAACGTAGACACTACTGCTGTGGCACCAGTGGCGTGATTGGTCTGTAAGGACACCGGGCTGAAACCGCACCTGAGGTCTGTAAGACCACCCGTCCCCTTCCTGTTACATGGACTTAGGACCTGGTCTTGGGTGGACAGGAATTGTGGCCTGGCTTGGAATGGCTACAAGCCCCAGCAGGCTCCAGAGAGCCAGCAGGCTTGAAGTAATATGAAGGCAGAGCACTTCTCTTCAGTTACAACTTTGTCAAATGCCATGTCTCATTCCCCAAACCACCAAAATGGAGTTCAGTCTGGGAGTAAGGATGGCCCCTTAGAATATTGCACTCTTTGGACAGAGTGATTTCTTGTGCTATGATCAGGCTAGACTGTGCCTGAGTAGGTGATGAGACCATTCTGAAATAAAGCTTCCTGTGAGGAGACTGGAGACAATAGCAGAGCTATGAGGCCATCAGGAAGAGCTTGCTTTCTTCTAGACCAGACTGCGTCCTCCAGGCATTGTTAGTGAAGGAGAAGCTGATCTTCCTTGCAAATAGCCTACAGCATCCCATGGCTCCGTTTCTACATTAGTGTAAGCAACAGATGATGGGCTACCAGCTCCTCATGGGTGGAAATGAGGACGCACTGAGACTCCCGCACTCTCCTGTCTGGTCTTTGGCACCTTCAGTGGCTTCCATATAAACTTAGAAGGTCCTGGATCAGCACAAGAATAGATGAGTTTCTTCGTCTAGAAGCCTGACAAAGAGAAGCTAGGCAGCCCTGACATTGTCATCCCCCTAATGTTACCTCATCATTGTTCAGCTACTTTCCATAGGTCTTTTTAATTATTCACCTGCTAGGCAGAATCAGGGACTTCCTCTCAGGCTTCCCACCTCTTCTTATCTCTTGGCAATTTTAAGGGTCATTAATGCAAAAAAACCTTCAGTCTATTTTGGAAAAATAAGCCAATTAACTATAATACCCATTCAACCTAGAGTGGTCCTCCTTGGGTCTTAGAAGGTATTTATGAAGTCAACAGCAGAGAGCTCCTTCCTTGGACTCCTCTTCAGAGCTTCAGAATAAGGATCAGGTATCAACAACATCCTGAAAGGATGGTGTAAATGTGTAGTCATTGATCTTTTGAGGGATGATGTCAGTAAGCCAACGTTTTGTGGTCCTAACACCTCATCACTATGGCACATATTGGACAAAATTAACCACCCCTTTAAAGTTACCGGAGCTCAGACTTTTGTTTTCAATGTGAAAACTAAGGCCAACATTTTCTCTGATTTTAAGTATGCCCCATGGCCTATGTTGGAATGATGTTCTTTGGTACTGAATATAGTGCTTTAATTTCTCAAGAATAATTCTTGGGTATGGTGGTCCACACTTTTAATCCCTGCCTCCTCCTCCCCAGTGCTGAGATCTCTGAGTTTGAGGCCAGCCTGGTCTACAGAGCAAGTTCCAGGATAGCCAAAGCTATACAGAGAAACTTGACAAAACAAATAAACAACAAACAAAAAATAATTCTTAACAAAATGCCCATCTTTAACTTAAATTCTCTCATTTATCATAGTTAAGAACAAGGATGAAAATGGCCCACAACTTGCTCTGACAGTATTTCCGCTCTGTGGGCTGGGCCGCCCTGGCTTACAGGTTCTCTTGCGTAGGCCAGGCTCTCCAGGGCTTAGCTGGTGACGAGGCACTTCTTCCCTTTGTTTCTCTCCCCCTGCTCTCCCACCACCCCCAAGCTACCAAAATAGAGCTTGTAACCCTGGCTAATATTCACACAGGATGACTTTAGTTGTCTGAAGCCCAGTGACAAAAATCTCAGTTTGCTCCACTGCATCTTTACAGAAGAAGGGCTGTATGTGTTGCCACAGCGGTGGGTGTGGTGACTAGGAAGTCAAAACAACAGGGAAGCTGACAACTGTGTGAGTGCATTTAAGACTGTGTTTACATAATGTAGACGGATGATGAATATGTTATGCAGACAACATTAAACGGTGGCCTAAAAATTTGTCACGACTGGTCACTCTTTGATGTACTTGATAACAGCAAATGGAGGGAGAAAGTATTTCCTGGAGATGGCAAGTTCAGCTTTGGATTCCTACAGCATTGGTGTTAAATGTTACTGCTTGGTCACATTTCGCCTTTGGTGAGCCTTCTCCATTCACTTCACTGCCCTCTTACACCTCAGCCTAGTAAACTGTCTCTTGGGTCTCCTTTCAGAACACTTGGATTTTCTCTCTGGGGAAAGAGTGCCCCCTGCTGGTTTAGTTCCAGCCGTGGTCCAAAGGCCCTCTTGCTCTGGGCGGGCACGGTCACCAGAATGCGTCCACTATAAGCCTAGGCCTAACCAACCTTCACACCAAAGCTCTTAGGACTACTGGCCCCTCCAGAGATCAGGAATAATAATACACATCTTCTCCCATCTTGTTACTACTCCGGGCCAAGGCATCCATCTAAAACCTGCTTCCTAAACAGCTGTGCAGTTTGTGTCATGTTTCCTCAGAACTGTACCGTACATAGCTGAGTATGCTAGAAAAAGACATAGGCAAGATTCCTAAAGGAACACCCTTTGATGGCAGCCACTGAAGCCACTCCACACCGTGCCTGGTAACTTGGGGTTTTCTTGCCCAAAGACACAACTCATCTTCCCAGGGTAATCACAGCCTGTGGTATTTCAGACCATATGTTTTAGATTTCTATTTTGGAAGTCTTCAGCTGTCTTGCTTATGCACTGTATGTAAATTTATTCTTTTTTTTAATAAAAATCTTTTTTGTTTGACTGTAGTTATTAAATGCTTTAAAATCTGATGTTTTGTTCCTGTGGATTTTCTTCTTCTTCTTTTTTTTTTTTTTTTTTTTTTTTGAGACAAGGTCTCATGCTATTACCCAGGTTAGCATAGAGCTCACTGTATAGTCCCAGATGGTCTTTAACAAAACATGTTACTCCTCCTCCCTCAGTTTCCCAGGTACTGCAATTATAGGTATCGGCCACCCTACTCGAATAGGTTTTATTTTTTTCTTACTTTAGTTTTTTTTTCCCCTCCCCCTTGGGTTTGCTGGGCCTGAGGTGAGGAGAGTGGACAAAAATCAGTGACTAGCTATAGACTATTCTGCTGCCAGAGTCCATCTGTATACAAATACTGGTCAACTGGCTACAGGTTTGGCTAACAGGAAGGAGGGGTGACACATGGTCTGATTAAGTCCTTCTAACTCCTTGATAATAAGAATCCTTTTCCTGGAGACAGATGCCACACACTGCGTTTAAGTAGAAACTCATCGGTGTTGCTGGTGATGGAAAAGAAAATGTTTTCATAGATAACGGTCCTAGTGTCTGAGCCAATTGAGTCAAATTTGCCTCACTATAGTGCTTTGTCTGCCTTTAAGTACCTTTGTTTGCTCTTTGAAGTGCTAAACTGAGTTATGTACAAGGGCACATGTGGGGCTGTATTTGTACTGTCACAGGATATAGCCTTTTATTTACAAAGGTTTGTAGGGTATAATTTTAAAATAGATAGTTTCCTTCTATTTTCTAATTTATTGTAGCTGGCCACCTAAGGGACGTAAAGCTCCAATCTGTTCTAGGCAGAACCTCTGTTAGACACAGGCTCAGAGAATTTTAAGTCAGGATCTGACGTGTCAGGGTTGTGTGGGAAAGACTAGGCCATGGGATGGGGCAAGACAAGAGCAGCATTAATTTGGTCATGAGGACCAGAGCAAGTCTAGGACTTCGGGAGCTTAATGAGGAAACCAGGTTGCCTAGGCAGGGGGGTGAGAAGGCACAAGAAGATACTCCGAATCTAGGGACAAGGTGGACAGAGGCGCTTCCCTCTTACAAGAGAAAACACAGAGCAAACCTGCCTGGTCACTACATGAGAATTGGGGGTGGATGTGGTATTTTCACACACTCATTTAATATCAGTCGGCCCTGGATGCCTTCCCCTCTGCGGCTCTGACCCACTTGTTCCCAGGTTAGTCTTCTCCACTCAGTTCCTCAAACGAGTCCTTAGAACCAGCATCTGTACATTGTTTGACTGTGATCAAGGCTCTACAGCGAACCTCTCACCGGTCCTCGTCTCTCTGACGATTAGATCCATTTCTCCAGCACAAGGGTGCGCAGAACCAAGCCAAGCCCACATCATTTTAGAGTGTTCCCCTCCAAGCCACTTGTTTGTTTTGCTCGCGTGTGTATTATAATGTGGGTGCATGACACGACTCCCTCTGTTGCGCGCCACTGTTTGAGAAAATTTCCCACGTAAAGGTGAAGCTCATATTTTGACTGGACTGCCAGGTCAGCAAGCCCCTAGGAACTACCTGTCTCCACACCCTAGTACCGGAGACAACAGGCACGTGACATGATGAGCCACTTTTACATGGGTTCTGGGGATTCGAGTTCAGGTCCTCCAGCTTTCACAGCAACCACTTAACCCAGTAAACCAGCCGCTCAGCCCTGGCTCGTGTCGTAAACTCCCAATGTGCTGAAGGCATCGGTGTTTCAAAGTCACATGGCAACTCTTCCTTCCCCACAAACATAAGACTTGAATAAATTAGTTTGGACGGACTGTACATCCGTTGTTTTCTTAAAGCAGGGCACACCTGTAATACAGACTCGCATGCTTACATGCATACTAAGAAAGCTGGATATGGGCCATGGATAGAATGTTAAATTCTTAAAGGCTGTAGCCACATGAGACAAAGGAGCTATATGAAGCCAAAAATTCCTCTTCCTTCTCCACGCCTGTCTATGTGGCATGCAAAAACAAACACAAAAGGCAACGGTGGCGCGCTAGGAGTTCCAGCCGAGATGCCTTTTCACACACTCAAGACATCTGCCAGCCTTGCTCTTCCTCTTGCTGCTACACCAGGATCCACTTGGTTGGAGCAAAGCCAGATTCTTCCCAGCAAAGGTGTTCAAAGAAAGCCCAGCTCAGTCCTCTCTTCATTGAGGGTGAGGCAGGGTGGCAGCCTGTACCTGGTACCTATGAGGACTCTATAATGTGGCTGAGAAGCCACCAACCAAGAAAGGGCCTGTAAGGCTTCTGGTCTGCAGCAGCTTTGTCACCTGGAAACCATATGGGTGGCCCTAAGGGGACAAATTATGCAGAGTCCACCAAACACAGATCATCTTACCCATCTCAATTCAACAGTGATAAACAGCTGTTGAAGGGTCCGAAAGATCAAAAGAAAGACATCCATTACACCCTATACAAAGCCTAGCCCTGGGAATCCTAGTGACCGGTACGCTTCCTCATCAGTTCACCTAAGCATTCTCTCTACAGCAGTGTGCTTGTGGGGTGCCTCCCTGTCTGCTCATCCTGCCTCAGGTGGCCCCCAGTGGTCCTTCCACAAATGAGCAGCCCAAGACCCACGGCTGAGATCTCTGATTAATACACCCATTTCTATCCAGGTGTTCACCCCTTCTCTGCTCAGAATGGAGTGAGTGGCTAACCCAGGCTCACCTCCATTGGAACTGCCTTCTTAGGAAGGGCTTGTTTGAAGGGCCAGCATAGTATCTTCCTTTGTGACAAAAAGTGGCACCTTCTGGAAAGAAAGTTGCTTTGTCACCAAGTTTGGTATTGAATAGGCACATCGTATCCTTATTGTCACTTCAGTCTGAAAGGGCTCATTTATGAAGCCCCACAAGGCCTCTGACTACTCTCAGCTGTGCTCTGTCTCCTCACATTCATGAACTTGAGCTGTTGCAAACGTTTTCTAACACAGCCGTGCCACTGTCCTAGCCTGGCATCCTTAAACAGAAATAAAGGGCAGTCCTGAGAGAACACTTGACGCTGAGCCCTGAAGGGTATGGCTTTGCGGGGCCAGACAGGATTACACTCAACCCACTCCTGGAGTTACTAATTGAACCAGGTCTGTGCCCACGTCCAGACATCCTTTCCGCCTGCTGGAAACTCAAAGCCAAGCAGAGTTTCTGAACTCACAGGCCGTTGTGTGCCCACTGTCCCTTCTTTTTTTTTTTTTTTTTTTTTTTGTAATTTTTTAACTTTTATTAATTACACTTTATTCACTTTGTATCCCCCCCATAAATCCCTCCCTCCTCCCCTCCCAATCACACCTTCCCTCCCCCTTCTTCACGCATGCCCCTCCCCAAGTCTACTGATAGGGGAGGTCCCCCTCTCCTTCCTTCTGATCTATCAGATCTCATCAGGAGTGGCTGCATTGTCATCTTCTGTGGCCTGGTAAGGCTGCTCCCCCCTCAGGGGGAGGTGATCAAATAGCAGGCCAATCAGTTCATGTCAGAGGCAGTCCCTCTTCCCATTACTATGTAACTCACTTGGACACTGAACTGCCATGGGCTACATCTGTGCAGGGGTTCTAGGTTATCTCCATGCATGGTACTTGGTTGGAGTATGAGTCTCTGGAAAGACCCCTGTGTTCATATTTTCTGGTTCTGTTGCTCTCCTTGTGGAGTTCCTGTCCTCTCCAGATCCACTGTCCCTTCTTGTCATGCAGGGTTACTTAGTTCCTCTGTTCTTATCCAAGGAGGCCATACTTCCCACAGCAACTTCTGGCAGGTGCCTTGGGGAGCTGCTGGGGATCCCAGAGGTGTAGTGACACCCTGGGTTTTATTAGGCATGCCAGGCTCTTCTTATACTTCTTCACTGCTCAGGCTGCCAAGATAGCAAAGGGACAGTAGCTCATAAAGAACAGAAGTTTATTTCTCACTCTTCTGGAGAATGAAGGTTCAAAATCAAGGTGACAGCAGACTTAATCATAAGGTCTCTTCTGGCTTGTGGCTCACAGAACTTCTTCAGGTACACACGGGGTAGAGAGTGGGAAAGCAAGCTTTCTGGTTTCTCTTGTGAAAGCCGTTAATCCCACCAGGAAGGCTTCATCTTCCTGACCTCATCTAGCCCTGATTACCTCCCAAAGACCTCACTTGTACAAACCATCCCACTGAGTATATTGGAGAAGGGTATCCAGTCCATAGCAATACACACCAAGTTACTCAGTCCTAGTAACATAAGCAGACAGAACTTTGGGGTTATCTTATGTTTGTCAGATGTTTTCAATGAGAGGTTCTATTTAGCTTAAGACAGCTACTGCGACTTTTCAGGTCATCAGTCTCCTTTTGGTAAAATGGATGGAAGAGCCAAAGTCAATACCAAAGCATCATTGATACCAAAGGAGCACAGCTAGAGGTCAACAAGAGGATGACCCTCAGCAATGTTCTCCTTCTAAGCCACGGAGCGACCCCTGCTTCAAGCAGGAGCCGTGGTGTGACTGGCTGGTCTCTACTCAACCTACTCCTGTTTAAAGGCTTAAATATTTATCATGGGTCTATTTATCATGTGGTACCCGAGCAAGGTACTGATAGCCTAGAACCAGGGTTGCAGTTGTGAGGTGTCATGTAGGTGGAAATCAAACCCAAGGCCTCAGCCAATGCAGTCAGTGCACTGAGCCACTGGGTCAGCCCCCATAATCTCTTTTGACTTGTAGGTAAATGGGACCATGTGTAGTCAATTACGTAGGGCTTCTTTCTCCTATCATGCATGGACTCATTTGTGTTACCGAGTTCATTCCCCCTAAGGAATGCATGGCCTTCGTACAAAGGCTATGTGGTCTGTGGCTACTATAAATAATACTGAACATCTGCACAAAACCCACATGTCACGTTGGTAAAACAGCTAGCTGGCTTTTTCAGGTTTCAAGAAACTACCAAACCACTTTCCTGGCTGTAACACTGTACATCCTCTCAATAGCAGTATGCAACAGTTCCACTTGTACCACTAACATTTGATCCATCATTTAAACATGAGCCCTTTTTTTAAAAAAAATTGATATGTTTTGGT